CTTCTGGCTCCAAGTCAGAGTTCTTCTCATCATTCCTTGGGAGACACGAGTAATCAGAGATGAGCCCATTTATGTAGAGAGGGGATTCTGTGCATAGGACATCTCAAGAAAACTTGGTTTTCTGTAGCCCAGTGTTTTGGTACTATTAAGTCCCTCTTACAAAGGGGTTTTGATATCGTTGGGAGGTCTACACTACCCACATTCAGGGACAACACAGGCTAGAAACCCTATTCCTCTTCCTCCTAGTTCCTGTAGAAAAACAGTTTACGATGCAGTGAAGCTCTGTCTATGCCCTGCCTACTTCCACTACGGTAAGCCATCTTAAATCAAGTACATCTTCAATCCATGTTGTGTAGTTTAACCACCGCCCCCCCCCCCCCGCAACTATTCTAAATTAGAGACCTTGATGAACCTCTCTGAAATGACTATGAAGAGATCCCTCTGGGTTGGAAAAGAGAAGCTCTGAGTGCAGCTTTTGAGAGGGAAGTCAGGGTTTCTTGTTGCTGGACCAGCCTTGAGGAGTTGGAGAAGAGGCAGCTGGCAGGCCTAGGCAGGTCTCCTGGCTCTCCAGCGTGTACCTCACCCATGGCCAACAGGGTTTGCTCATTTGCTTTTCACATTTCCTTGAACTTCAGGCACCCTTTGGATGAGGAAAGGTCCAGTGGAACTTCAAGAGATCAGACTGGAGAGGGTACAAAGACAGAGGGAGACACAGCAGCTGGTTAGAAGCCCTTCTCTCTGGCCTGGGGCTCTGTTGAGGGTAGGGGGAGCTGGAAGCTGACCCTGGGGAGCACAGGGACCAGGGAGCAAAGGCACAAAGGCAAGAGATGCATCTTCAGTCTCTGCTCTGCCACTGGCATGCTGCAGCCTCACCTGCCTCATCAGGGAAAGGGCTTAATAATAGAACTTGGTGGGGCACCTGGGTGGCTCAGCTGGTTAAGTGACCCACTCTTGGTTTCAGCTCAGGTCATGATCTCATGGTTCATGAGATCAAACCCCGTGTTGGGCTCTGTGCTGACAGTGTGGAGCCTGTTTGGGAGTCTGTCTCCCTCTCTCTCTGCCCCTCCCCTGCTGGTGCTTTCTCTCTCTCTCTTTCTAAATAAACAAACAAACATTTAAAAAAATAATACAACTTGGGCAGCCTGCTTTGCAGAGTGTTTGTGAGGTGGCCCAAATGAGTCAGCAAGTGACCTTTACAAACACTGTCAATCAAGGACAGATAAATTAGTGTGAGCAAAGATGATGGTGGTGATGATAATTTCAACCCCCAGCCTGGTGTGAGGGACAAAGAGCACCAGCAACACACACACACAAAACCACTGCAGAGATGAAAGCTGGTGGCTGTGGCTTCACCAGCCCAGGGCTATGCTTGGTCCAGGGGCAGAGCTCTGGTGCCAGAGCTGCGGGTCAGAGCAGGGAATGTGTACCTGATCCCCCCACCTTCTCCTTCTCCTAGAGTAACCAAAATTCATAGATTTGGAAGCGATTAAGGAAAACCTGAGGGGAAAGTTTTGAAGGCCCAGCCCAATTAATTTCATTTAAAATGTCATCCATTTATTGTAACATTTCACAATTCTTTAAAGTATAGGAGGTGATTTCACAAATACTATATCAGTAATCCTGATTTTATCCCCATTTTACAGATGAAGAAATCGAGGCTGAGATCAAGTAAATGAATTCTCATGACACAGCTAGTAAGTTGCAGCAATTTACGCTCGGGGTTTCAGACTTTTAGGTTCTGTGTTTCTGGAAACCCAAGTTCAAGGAATTACAGAGCTAAAGAAAGACATGGGAAAGAGGGCAGAGAAAGGGAAAAGGGGAGCGGGGAGGAGAGGATTAAGAAGGGGAAGAAGGGAGGAAGGGAAGCACAGAAGTAGGAAAGGAAAAAGAAAAGGAAAGAAAGAAAGCAAAAGTCTTTTGAGTGAGCAGAGAGCACAGTTCACGCAATACACACAGGAAAAGGAACACTTGCGTCTGTGTCCCGACAGGTCTGCTGCGTGGTACTCGCACAGTGTCCACTGTGTCCCTGTGTGTCGTCACACACAGACTGCTGGTGGAACTCTCTGCTCTTCGATTTCTGCTGAAACCCCCATCCCATCCCGTTGTCTCTGCTGGAGGCTCCTTGCAGATTCACTGAGCGGAGCCTCTACCGATGAGCCTCAGCCTCTGGACCAACAACTGACCTCGCCTTGCCCCCTCCGCCCCCCACCGCGGGCCAGAGTAGGTGTCGGGGATGCCTGGCGGATATAGGGCGCCCGCCTTGGCTCTCCGGCTCAGCCCTCCGAGCCCTGGGCTTTGGCGATGCTTGAGGTCTACACGGAGTTCTGGAGGACCGAGGGTCGCAGTGACCAGAAAGGCAGAGGGGTCACAGGGACCTGCATCCCTTAGCACCGCCTGCACCAGGGCACCTTCCCATAAAGTTACCCAGGTGAATCAATACGTGCGTAAAAATTAAGATGTGAAGGTATGGAGAGAACAAGAGCTCAGGTTCCCGTGAGCAGATAGCTCACACGCGGAGGGCGGCGCCCGTGCTAGCCATGCGGCAGTTAATGCCCAGGTTCTGGGGAACTTGGTCTCCCGCGCTCCCGCCAGACAAAATGCAAGAAATTAAACGACTGGAAACAACAATCACAACTTGTATCTCTCTGTGCCCGCCCTTACTGTTTTCTCCAATTTTGCCAAAGGTATCAGGAATCCAATTTGACCGCTCTGCGCTACCTGGGGCCCGCGCCTCTTCCTAACCTGGTGCCTGGGCGCTGCCCCACTGCGTGCACGCTCAGCTCCAGCTGGCAGCGCGCCAGAGGCTGGGGGGCGGGAGTGGGAACGCCCTCGGCCGGCAAGGGGGCGCTGTCCTCTAGAGGCCGCTGACCCGGCGGAGCACAGTCTGCGCCCAGCAGCGGCTGTGGGCTTACAAAGGGTGGAAGCCGAATTCTTCCAGAGTCCACGACTGCAGCTCAAGTACCCCAGATGAGATCCCTTCTCCTTAACCCCTTTCCCCAACGAGCTGCCCTCCCCGGGCCTGGCGCTGCCCTAGCTCCCCAAGGCTTTTAGAGTATTCTGGCCTGGGGATTTTTTCTTGAGGAATTTCTGGCAGAGGGGTCCAACACGGGAAATGACCTAGGCTTACCGGGGTAGGGAAGTCCGCCTAGACCGTGGACACATTCTCTCCGCACCCCGCCTTCTCCCCCGCTCCCTGCTCTGCCTCTGGCGCCAGCCAGCCCCGGCGCTCCACCTTGGGTTCCAGGATGCTCTCCCAGCTGCTGGTCACCCACTTTCCAGCCAGCACCGCGCCCTGCTCCCTTTGCTGACCACACTGGCCGTGAGAGTAGCTGGTGGAGCACATGGGCCTAGCTTGCTGCTCCTGGATTCTGCCCAAAAAGGAGAGGCCCGTTCTGGGATAAAAATTATCCTGGGCTCTACAGATTAAAACCGGGACTTAAACACGGAGAAGTTGCATTTCTCTATCCACTTGCCTTGGGGTTCGTGGGGCCCGTCCAGGAGCACGCGTTGCACATAAGGCACCTGTGAATTCAGTGCTCCCTAGGACATTGAATTTGGTCCTAGAATTTACAGGGCTTTACGTCTAGAGTTATATTAACATCAAGCATCATGTAGAACTTAACTTTTCACATATATTATCTCACCAAATCTTCACAACAACCCTGTTAGTTCAAGTCTTATCATCGTCCTCATTTTAGATTTAGGAAAAAAGGCCTAGAGAGATACCTGACTTGCCCAGAGTCACACATTAAGTGATCAAACACTGAATACAGGTCCTGACTCAGACCTCAAGGTCCTCCCACTGTCCTCCCACGACAATGCTACCTCCTTTCAGGGTCACCTCTGCTAAGCCCTGAACAGGGATAGGGCTCTGTAAATATTTGTAGATTGAATTCCAGGATCTGATCAAGCTTTATGATTGCCGCATTTTATACAGTAAGGTGTGTCTAAGCCTTATTTACTCACTCACTTATTCATTCACTTATTCGGCAGTTCCTGAGTGCCTACTGTGTGCGGGAGCTGAAGTAAGAGCCAGCAGGATGGCCCTGCCCATACGAAGCTGGGTATCGAAAGAGCTGTCCTCTGGGGCAGGGGGCAGGCATCTGGCATCTTGGAGAGACTGCCAAGCTCCCACACTTCAACCCTCGGAGTTGAGCTCAAGCCCAGAACCAGTGGCCTATCTCTCGGGTGTCAAGAGAAGAACTCAGAAAGTCACAGGGGAACGCGGGAGGGGAGGGCCAGGACAACCATTCTAAGGAGCAGGACGGAGAAAAGAGAAAATACAACCAGAAGAAAATTCCCTGAGGGAAGAGCTAGAGAGGAGGGGGCTGGAGACCTTGCGGACATCGGAGAAAAGGGTGTTGTGAGACTAAGGGTGTTAAAGAAGAGACCTTAGTGGCGGAGTGAATAAAGGGGAACTGAGAACGCAGACAAAGCCCTCCGGACAGCCAGGGAGTCTCGGGGCGTCGAGGAGGTCCTTGATGAGCGCTGCATAGAATCCCATGCAGAGTGCAGACCCAACCCTTGCAGGCTCTGGCCGACAAAGTTGGCTGGGGGCGAGGTTGGTGAAGCCTGGGTCGTTTTAGAACAAGAGTAGAAATGTTCTCTCAAGAACAGTTCACGGGCTGCTCTGGGAGGACTCATGGTCAATGTCTCTCGCGCCTGGCCCTGACCAGCGAAACCTGTTTGGCTTCGGTTCTTCCTGGGGTTCCAGGCGCCAGAGGAGTTGGTGGAGCCTGGCTCCGGGAGGCCATCGAGAGTCGGGACAAGGGGCTGGAGTCTGGCTCCCGGTCCGGGGCGAGGTGACTGCGGGGGGGGCGCCAGCCTCCCGGCTCGGCGACACCTGCACCCGGAGCGGGCGGGACGAGAGGCGTTCCTGGGGGCGTCCAGGCAAGGATTCCCAGGAGGGACTCTGGAGGCAGAGGGGCGGGCCGGGGAGGGCGCCGGGAAGTGGCCCTCCCTCCCATCTCCCCCTCCTGGCAGGTCGGAGCGGGGACGCGGTGGCCCTGGACGCTGGGAGTGGGCCCGCGCCGAGACGGAGGGAGGGGCCGCGCCGCCTTCGAGAGTCATTGGAGGACGCGACCGCCCGAAGCTGATAAATAAGGGGACGGGCCGCGGCTGCCAGCCAAGTTGGACGCCCGACCCGTGCGAGGGCCAGGTCAGCGCCTGCCCGGCGAGGCGAAACGAGGGGACCCCCCGTGCGGCCATGGCCTCGCTGTTGGGAGCTTACCCGTGGCCCGAGGGGCTCGAGTGCCCGGCCCTGGAAGCCGAGCTGTCGGATGGGCTGTCTCCACCGGCCGCCCCCCGCCCTCCGGGGGACAAGGGCTCGGAGAGCCGCATCCGGAGGCCCATGAACGCCTTCATGGTGTGGGCCAAGGACGAGAGGAAACGTCTGGCCGTGCAGAACCCGGACCTGCATAACGCCGAGCTCAGCAAGATGCTGGGTGAGTAAGCAAGCCGGCGGGCGGGGCGCCCCGGGAGGTCGGCAGGCTTGGGGGCTCGGGCGGGGGCGGCCGGAGGCTCGCGGCTGCGGGCAGGGCGGGGGGCCCTCGAGCTTGCGGAGCGTGGGTAGGAGCCCGCGAGTGGGTATGCGCGGGGAGCGCGGGCGCTGTCTGTGCGGGCGAGGTTGGGCATCTGTGCGAGCGTGGGTGTGCGCGCAGTGCCCGGGATTCAGAGCAGGGACACCTCGACGAGGCCCAAAGTGAAACCGCGCGGCCCACTAGGGTGGGCCAGGAAGCCCACTGGCGGTAACAGGAGCAGAATTTGGGGTCCCAGGGAATAGCGGAGACCCGCGCGCACGGACGGGTTGGAACCGAAACGCAGAGGAGGCCGGGTGGAACCGGTGTTTGCTGGGACTGCCGAAGCGGGAAACCCACCATCCCCTTCACTTTACCACTGGCACAATCACGGAAGGTGGTTGTAACTATTATTAACGAATATTCGTGAAGAGAGAGCTTGTGGGAACGCAGCCCTTCTTTAACTTAATTTTTAAACCAAGAGCGAAAAGTACGCAGAGACTCGATTCGATCATGTATTTCTCAATCGCAGGAGCGTAGATAATTTGATTGGGATGCTCAGGGCCGCCAGCGAGGTCTGTCCCGGGGCCGCCAATTTCCCAGGGCTGCTGCGCAGTCCCAGCAGGGGCAGTCGGACTGGGGACAGGGACACGCCAGACCGGGGGAGCCCAGAGAAAGGATGTTAGGTCACATCCGAAAAACCCGAGTTCCAGTCGGGTTTTGTCAGGGCTTCTTCTCTCCCACGTCTGGGGCTGAGCACTTTCAGCTCCGCTCTGCTGCTCTACTCCTAACCTTTTTGCCTTTCGATTTATTTTTATTCATTTTAAGTGGTGGAAACCTTTCAAAGCATTTCATAGGCACAGTGGGCGCCAGGACCTGAGAGAAGGGACAGTAGGGGTCACCGTAGGCTGCCCTGACCCTCCCCAACCCCACCCTGCCCAGAACTGAGCCTTTTTTTCCTTTTCCCTCTAGAGCTCAGAACTGTGGCGGTGAGGGCTGACACCCATCTTCCTGCTGGCTAAACCTGCTGGTCCGCAGAGAGGGTCCCTCCTGCAGTCCAGGCGTCCATTCAAAGCAGCTGGTTTCAAAAAGCCTGCTACCCATGGCCCAGCCCCCTGGCTAGACACTGGTGGGTCAGTGTCTCCATGAGCCGCTTTCTTCATAAAAATATTTAAAATTATATTTCATGCTCCGGTGGCATAAAGACAAACATATTAATACACACAACAGTAAAGTATTTATCTAAAAGTTCATTTGTTTCTTCAGATTTCTTTTTTTTAAGTTTATTTATTTATTTTAAGAGAGAGAGACACACAGTGTGAGTGGGGGAGGGGCAGAGAGGGGGGAGACAGAGAGAGTCCCAAGCAGGTTCCCCACTGTCAGAGCAGAGCCAGATACTGGGCTTGACCTCCAGAACTGATACTGAACTCGAACTCAGGAACCATGAGACCATGACCTGAGCTGAAATCAAGGGTCCGACACTTAACCGATCGAGCCACCCAGGCACCCCTTTTTCTCCAGGTTTCTAAAGAAATGAAAACACTTTTTTTTGTGGACCTCTCCACATTTTTTCAGTGGGCCCAGGCACTGTGCCTCTTGCTGAAGTGAAGCTCTTGTGACCACGACAGAGTGAGGTTTCTGTTGCGGCCCAGACCAGAGGTAGGAGAGGAACTCAGGCTGGGGAACCTTCTGCGACCCAGGCTGCCTGCTCCCAGGGAAAGGGCAGGCAGAAAGACCTGCCTGACAAATGCCTCTAGCGAGCTGATGCCTGTTGGCAATTTGCATTTAGACTTCCAGAGGTTATAGTTCATTTTGCAGGAAAGACACTGATTCCTTCCTGCTTAACCACACAGCCCCTGGCCCTGGGCAAGAGGAACCAACATATTTTTAAAATGCAGACTTTCTACACTTGTTAATAAGGGGGTGGCAGGATGATCTACTTCTACTCTATGATCTTGCCCAGCCCTTTCCTTTCTGACCTAGGAAAGAGTCCCAACTCTTTTGACTGTAAGTTTTCCCATCTTCAACATTAAAAATGTCACCAAGTAGCACCCATTTTCAGTATACTATGAATGAGAAGGAACATAAAGACAGTTTTACATTTAGTGGTATTTACAGTGAATATTTTATTAATACTATGACATCCATGTATACTTAGAAACTAGAGTCCCATTTTATAGTCAGTCCACAGACAGGGTGTGGGGTGTGCCTGGATCTTGGGCCTCTTGCAACAACTTTGCAGTCTCAGCCACAGGCTGTGAACTGCTGACCAACCCCAAATCCAGAGTTCCTCACACTTTTCAAGTTGCCTTTTAAGTGACAGCTAATTATATTAATTGATGACTCTGTCACAACAGTTATAAACTTTCATCCCAGTGGTACAGTGCCTTTAACAATTGTCATCCTCCAGTGCCTTTGAGGGCCAGGCATCCAGAGTCAGCCAGTGCGGGTACCCAGGCAGCAGTTACACACACCTCTGCACTGGGCCCTGTGCAGAGGGTTTGGGGCAGGACATGTGGCCCCTTTCCTTACAGGGCTTGGGGATGGGGATGCTTACCCTCTGGACCAGTAGGTCTCAAACTTTAGGATACATCAGAGTCATGTGGGGAACTTTTAAATTTGCAGAATCCCAAGTCCGCACTAGGAGGTAACAATCTAAGGGGTCCAGAAATGACTTTCAGAAAACCAGCAGCCAGAGGGATATGCAATGAATATAGACAGATGAGAGAGGTGCTAAAGCAATTTACAAAAAGATACAAAAGGGAATAAGGATGAATAGAAAATACAAGTGAAACCAGCATTTTAGCATCTGTGGGATACAAGCATGGGATGCTTCTTAGAGAGTTTTGCATTGGATAGTATCACAGTACATTTTATAGTGCGAAAAATAGAGTCCCAGGGAAGTTAAAGAATTTGCTTCTGCAAAGAGAATCAAAGACTGAGCAGCTGCCCCCTGCCATAGTGCAAGGGTACTAAGTAGGTGGCAGGAGGCCTTGACATGAGTGTGTGCTGGCACACCTGTGTGCCTGTGCATGCATGTGTGTGTGTGTGTGTGTGTGTGTGTGTGTGCCTGTGCATACAGGTGTGTGCATGCACTGTGTGTGTGTGTGTGCATACAGGGGGGTGCATGTGCCTGTGCATGCATGTATATGTGCATGTTGCAGGTAGATGCTAACATTCTGGCCATGGTCTTTATATGGCAGAGTCATAACTGACCTTCAGATATGAGGGATAATGGTCTGTTACCCTAAGTGGGATCCTGTAATTTACTTACATATGTGAAACGATTGACTGAGCCTGAGTTCCTTCACAAGAAGACATGTGAAATTTATGCCATAAATAAATATAGCATTATTTCCTGAGAGGCAGCAATAATCAGCAAAGGCAGAGAGTTTTCATTAAAATGCATAAATGATTTGTGGACTTGGTCCACGAAGGGTAAAAAAGAGCCCAAATCAATGTAGTCATTATATATTTTTATCCTGTGTCTGACCCCGGGGTCTGGTGGGTCCTTCACTGTGAATCCCACATCGCGCACATTTATAGGAGAGGTGATGTGTTGGCCGCTGTTGACTTGAGTGGTTTTGTAGGATGCAAGCGGGAGAGATTGGCTTGGCCTCACAGTGCTAGGGTGCTAGGAAGGGGGTATGAGGGGCGCGGTGTCCTCTGTGTCCTTTGTGGAGTGGGGGAACCCGCGGGTGGGATGAGAGCCGGAGGCTGAGGGCATGTGTCAGTGTGGATGCTGGGAGGCACGAGTGCCTGGGACAAGGGCGCCGGCCTCCCCAAGCCGCACGGATGCTGAAAGTGGCCTTCTCTGACCTATGTGAGCAGGAAAGTCGTGGAAGGCGCTGACGCTGTCCCAGAAGAGGCCCTACGTGGACGAGGCGGAGCGGCTGCGCCTGCAGCACATGCAGGACTACCCCAACTACAAGTACCGCCCTCGCAGGAAGAAGCAGGCCAAGCGCCTCTGCAAGCGCGTGGACGCAGGCTTCCTCCTGAGCTCCCTCTCCCGAGACCAGAACGCTCTGCCCGAGAAGCGGGGCGGCGGCCGGGGGGCGCTAGGAGAGAAGGAGGACAGCGGTGAGTACTCCGCGGGCTCCGCCCTGCCCAGCCTGCGAGGCTGCTACCACGAAGGGCCGGCTGGCGGCGGCGGCACCCCTGGCAGCGTGGACACCTACCCCTACGGGCTGCCCACGCCCCCGGAAATGTCGCCCCTGGACGTGCTGGAGCCGGAGCAGACCTTCTTCTCCTCTCCCTGCCAGGAGGAGCATGCGCACTCCCGCCGCATCCCCCACCTGCCGGGGCCCCCTTACTCACCGGAGTACGCCCCCAACCCCCTCCACTGCGGTCACCCCCTGGGCTCCCTGGCCCTTGGCCAGTCCCCAGGCGTCTCTATGATGTCCACTGTACCCGCCTGTCCCCCGTCTCCTGCCTATTACTCCCCTACCACCTACCACCCTCTCCACTCCAACCTCCACGCCCACCTGGGCCAGCTCTCCCCTCCTCCCGAGCACCCCGGTTTTGATGCCCTGGATCAGCTGAGCCAGGTGGAACTCCTGGGGGACATGGATCGCAATGAGTTCGACCAGTACTTGAACACTCCTGGCCACCCAGACTCTGCTGCGGGGGCTGTGGCTCTCAATGGGCATGCCCCGGTCTCCCAGGTGACATCGACAGGCCCCACAGAGACCAGCCTTATCTCCGTACTGGCTGATGCCACGGCCACGTACTACAACAGCTACAGCGTGTCATAGAGTCCGGGGCAGCCAGCCCAGCCCTGCCTCGCCGCAGCCCTCTCCTTCCCGCGCACTGAGCAGAGCCGATGGCGCCGCGCTAGCAGCTTTCTTCCAGCCGCCGGGTGTGCAGGTCTGACCTGTCCTCGGGGCAGAAAGGGGCTCTGCGGATCTGAGCGCCCCTTCACTCCCGGCAGCCTGCATTTTGAGGGTATTCCTTCAAATGGGTTCTCATTGACTGCACCCGGGGAATAAGGCAAGTTAGTTGCTGAAAGATGGTTTCCCGGTAGATTTTCCTTTCCTTCTCCAGGTCCCCGTCACGTAAACAAATGTGTGAAATCCCGGCGGCTTTCATACATCTCCAACTTCTGACACAGCCGCATGGGGCACAGCCGTCCTGATCTATGGATCCTCCCGGTGAGGAGATCCCTGAGCTGGGATCCAGGCGACCCCCGCTCCAGTCCCAGTTCTTCCTGGGAGGGTTAGTTCCCACTCGTCTCTCTTCCCCTTCCAGCCCCTCACCCCCGCTCCCAATCTAGGAAGTGGGGCACAGACTTGATATCTAAGGCCGCTTCCGCTCCAAGGTTTTCTGATCTAGGATTGTTTCAAAGCTAATTAAAAGGAAAACGAAGTTTGACTTAATAAGTTCATTGACGGCCAACCTGGTGATAATTCTGTGTGCATAGCCCAAGAACACGTGGCTTTCTGTGCTTGCACTGCCTTTCAAAATGATCACAGTCTTTCAAAAGGACTCCTCTGACTTGAGAAACAACACCCATCTTGATTTGGAAAATTAACCACTAGGGTTGCCTGCGTCACCGAAAATAGGATTGAATTCAAGCTATTGTTTTTTAAACATATTTTGAAAGATAAATAATTTTTTATTACACACACATTTCAAGAGAATATACACAGCCTGAATATATAGTGTTTGTGGGACACGTACAACACACACACTTTCATGCACACCCTTAAATGCATGTCTGTGCAGCCTAAATCAGATACTCTTGTTGATGTTGGCAACTTCTTGTCAACTCCCTGTTCCTAATGACCCAAAGAGCTGGGAACCTACAGAGCAATGTCACTTACCTCCAATCTAGATATGTTGATTTCTTAAATTAATTTTTTTTTCAACGTTTATTTATTTTTGGGACAGAGAGAGACAGAGCATGAACGGGGGAGGGGCAGAGAGAGAGGGAGACACAGAATCGGAAACAGGCTCCAGGCTCTGAGCCATCAGCCCAGAGCCTGATGCGGGGCTCGAGCTCACGGATCGCGAGATCGTGACCTGGCTGAAGTCGGACGCTTAACCGACTGCGCCACCCAGGCGCCCCTAGATATGTTGATTTCTTGAGCAAAATTTCATGATGCTCTCCCCCTCTGCAGGTGCAAAAGGAATTTCCTTCTCTCTGTCTCTGAGTCCCCTTCTTCCTTTCCTGGATTTCTTTTTCTCTTCTTCACTGTTCTTCCTCCACCCCTGAATTGGCCATGAATTCAAAGATCCCCTGATTTAAAAATCCTAAGCATGATTCCTATGGCTGCGGTGGGAGTTTGGTCTCCTCACCAGCCAGCTGGTTCTTGGTAACACCTTCAGCCAACACTTCAAAATGACTTCCTTCACTATACTTCCCAAAGAACAGAAACGCACTGTGATCCACAAAATGTTTCTGAGCCCTGACCCCACCCCAAAAACATTTTCATCCTTTTCTCAAAACTCCTTTGAAGGAACATAACTAGCAACAAGCAAGAAGACAGTTGTCTGTCTTTTAATTACAGCATATTATTATTGCCTGTATGAAATATGTAAGTGTTTTATATATTCTCCTATTTTCAGCTTATATTTTATATTGTTGAGAGATCCTTTGTTTTCTTCCAAGGAGTCCTACTGTAAAATTACTTATAAGATATAATTAATCTTTATGCTATCGCTGTATATACATTTGGTAATAAATAGTAAATCATTGACAATATGATTGGCTGGTGCAGTCCAGAATGTATATTAATAATCTTGTAAAACATTATCACAGACGTTAAGCTGAACTGTTCCCCCCCTCCCTTTTTTTTTTTAGTAAGAACTACACATGCTTTGGAACGGTTGTAGATATTGATCTGTCTAAAATATTTAATTTAAATAAATGTTTTTGTACCATGACCATGCTATCATTTGAAATAGAGTTTTGTGAACAGAAAAGGTTTTCAAGGGAGGCATAGATATTATGCCCAGTTCTACTTTATGGTATTGGTCAAAATATTTTCTACATCAAGGTTTTTTTTTTTAAATTATCTTGTAGGGGTGGTTTATTTTATTTTATGAATTATGGTGAAGAGATAAAGCCTAATTTGACATGTTGGAAACAATATTGTTATGATTCACTCTGAAAGAAAAGGATAGTTCATAACCTACCTGCAGAATAATTTTCTCCTCAGGATGACTTCACACTTGTAAAGTGGAATGAGGTGATTATCAGGCGCTCTCAAGATAGGACGTAAGTTCTGCCCAATTACTTGCTTCCTTAAGGCTGCTACATTTTTTCCTTCTTCAAAATAATCTAGAAAAATACCTAGTCTTCCCTCTTTCCTGTGCATTTATCGATGTGGCATAACAAGACACCACAGCCTCCCCCAAACCCAGTGGAATGTTGTGGAGAAGGCAGAGAAGCACTCAGATTGGTAATTAGAGGATGTAACATCTTGTGAGGTTTAGGATTAAAATCCCAGCCAAGAAGTGCCTGGAAAAAAACGGATGATTACTCAGTCCCCTTGCGGGTCACCATGCCTGGCTCCTCTCCGTGGGGAAGCAGTTGTAACTTGTTCAACTCAAGGGCAGCCTCGTGTTCTTGGCCCAGAGAGCCAAGAAGTGGGTTCTGGGAGGGCCCAAATGGGCATCTGTTTGTCCTTCAATTCCGATCATAATCTATAGTCATTACTTTAATAGCACTTTATAGCTGTAGGGAGATTTATGGCAGGTTTTATGAGCTAATTCTCATCCACAATCTCAGGTGAGGCCCTGTCACCCATCCACCCCTTTGTGCAGCCCGGGACACTGAGGCCCAGTGGGAGGGGGTGCAGTTTAGCTCACCCTGCTCAGTTAGGGGAGGCTGGGGTTCCAGGACTTCATAGATACCTTTGTTCATCGGCAGCATTGCCAAATGGTCTCATAGCTAGAGGCTTCATGCCTTTTTTAGCGCTTCACCATGGCATGGAATTGCATGTAGTCCAGTTCATGCCTCTCACAGCCCAGAGAAAGAGAGAATGAACAAAGAGGAAGTATGGGGTCAGAGTTAGATGAGGCCCGAATTCATTGCCATCCAGGCCCAGTCACTGTGGCTGGCTGACAGTGGCAGTCTGCAGGGTCATCAGCTGGCTGGAGGACTCTTAGGGCAGTGTCTGCACAGGACATCGGCCCTCAGCACTGCCAAATGGGCATATTTCATTCCAGGACTTACGGTGGGGGTGGAGGCGTTGTCCCTGCCTCTGGGAGGGCAGGAAACAGGCAGGCGACAGGACTGCTCTTTCACTTTGGCTCAGCTATGAGCGAAACAGTTGTGCCCAGAAGCCAGGAGTACTTTAGAGTTTTAGCTGCTCATTCTGAGAACCCACCTGCCCCCAGTAACAAGAGCACCTTTTTCTTTGCCTGATGAGAATTGATGGGTATGCACGGTTGTCCATTTTTTTCCCCCAAAATATAGATGTTACTATTTCACTCTTCCTTAAGATACTTCAGTACCTGCTCATCTCCCATGGCGCCCAGGGTGAGCACAGAAGTGGGGTCATGTGAATGCAATGAGGATCATGCTTCCAGGCTTGTCACTTATTAGCCCTGGTAATGTATTCACATCCCCTGCCCCCTCGCCTTTCCAACTGTGTGAGCTTCAGGATCCACAACACCTGGCTTGGCCCCATACGAGTGCCCCTATGGCTAACCTTCTTCCTCTTTCCAGAAGCCTTTCACAGCATCCCCCACACCCCCCACCATGGTGTACCTACTGCACGAAAAGCCTATTGTTCTCTGAAATATTTTCCTTTCTGATACTTCTGTGTTTATCCCAGTGGTCTTCCCCAATGGGGGAGACCCTCACTCCCATCACCTGTCTACTGTCCAAATTCAGCTTACATGTCCCCAGCCCTGCCTGGAAGAGGGGCCAGTCACTGTCCTCATTGAGCAGGCCTTGGTTACAGCACTTAGTGCCTGGCATTGGAATCATCCACCCATATGCATCTTCCCCAGCATTGTAGACACATAGTAGCTGCTCAACAGTAACATGAATGGATAAATGCATAAACATCTGAGATGTTCCAGTTAATCTTGGTGATAAAGATCTAAAAGATCCTGGTCCCTAATTTTCCCGCTCATCTCCCTGGACACCAATACCCTGGAGTCTTTGTGTGTGTAGTTCTCAAGGCTCTGAGGCTGGATATGATGCATCCATGGCTATTCACTCTTATCTGCTAGAATGTAGCCTGTAGTAAACAGGTTAGGAATGGGCACAAGGGCACCAGAGGGGAATCTCTTCTCCCATCCCATTCTAGAGCACTGAAAAGAGCTGAGGACAGATGGTTTGTAACATTTGTAATTTGCCTACTTTCCTTTTGAAAATTATGCTCTTTATTTTATCTCAAGGAAAGGGATTTGGAAGGAAGGGAGTGGGAGGGAGGGAGAGGAAGAGGAAGGAAGAAAATAGATCTATCTACCTACCTACCTACCTATCTACTTACCTACTTATCTACCTGTCATCTTTTTAATATATCCATCCAACCATCCATCCATCCACTTATCCACCCACCCCACATACCCATTTATCATCTTTACATCCATCCATCCATCCATCCATCCATCCATCCATCCATCTTTGTCTGCCTATCTATCATCTATCTTCTATTGATACTGAAATTCTCAAAAGAGACAGCCTTTGTAGAAAATTTAGAGAAGAAAAGATCATCTATTATCCACAACTTTGAGACATTACTGGTAAATTTTGACATATGTCCATCCAGTCTTTAAATTTTTTTTGTCTAGTTCTACATGTACATATATCTTTCATAATAGACGTTTTCATTCATTAATATTAAGTAAACATTTTCCTATGATATTAAGCTTAATTTTTCTGCAAAAGCTTGGTTTTTTCCAGTTGAAAAGTCAATATTGAACATTTTTGAAAAACAGAAAAATTGATCACTCCATGACTTTGACATAACTACTTCTTGAATATATTCATTTTGGTATACAGAACTCCCAGTCTTGTATTTACGTGTTCAAAATTGTGCCTCATGTGATCATAGTGTAGATATAGATACCACTAGTATTTGGCTTTATTCTCTCAAAATCCTGTTATAGAATTTTTGCCATATTGATATTTGTCTTGGTATTATTATTTCTGATGATGGCTCAGTACTTCAGAGCATTGATGTAGCTTAATTTATTTGACTGCCTCCTTGCTATTAGATTATCTATTTTTTTCCATTATAAATAACACTGCAGTGAACATTTACTTGTTCATATCTTTGACTACATTTCCAGCAGGGTATCACCAGGTAGACAAATGAACAAGTTTATAGCTTTTTCCTTCAAACTGCTTGTTTGTTGGTTTTCTCAAAGAGCCTCAACTGGTAGCGAAGGCACAAAATGACTCCATTCAATTCCCAGAATGAACTGACTCTTAGCAAGAAGAATTAAAACCCCTGAAGACCACATATGACTGACACTACTTGTCATGGTGGCTTTGTCTTCCTGAGGACCTATTTTGTGCTCACTGCTGGTTTCCATTGGCAAATTGTGAGTGTTCCTTTCCCCAGACACCACAATGGATGGCATGCCCTTCTCTGAGTATCAAGTTACGATATAGGGCAACAGATTATTCTATCAGCAAGGCAGCTGGGTTGGTTCCAGAGTCCTTCAGATCACCATCAGCACTGCTGGCTGCATTCAGAGGGCACTCAGAGTTCTGGACCTGGGGGAAGAGTCTGATCTTACCCCATCACTGGATTTTAATTGAGACTTGAGTAAATCCCTGGACCTGTTCTCTCATCTAAGGAGATGGTGAATTTGTAGGCACTTGAGAAATTGTAAACTTTATATGCATGTACAGGATACCTATTGTCTATTTTATTA